ACTTGGATCAATGTTATATTTCCTGGTGCCTCTTCTCTTCTAAAACTCTATAATTTATTTCTCTTCACCTGATTGCTCCTTTTCATTGTAGAGCTGCATAAGAATAATCACTGAGTATCACATGACACAGTCAGTACTAGGCTGTCTTGAAATCTTCTTTGCCAATGTCATTAATCCAAACCTCTTCAGTTTAGCCTTAGACAGATGCTTAGGACAAGTGCAAAAAGCAACCACTTTCATTCCTAAAGTATCATAAGAATGGTCTACAGGCTATTCCCTAATATTCTTACCCTCTGAAACCTCTTGAGCCAGACCTCTATAGTCCAAATTGCCCTCAGCATTACTTCCTTCCATGTTCCTACTAGAATGGCCCATTAAGTGCTACTAATGCATTCAAGTACTTTCCTAGTTCAAAGTCCCAATGTCTTCCATATGCTTCCAAAAGAAAAAAGAAAAAAAAACCAGCATAGCCAAACCTCCACTCTTGATACCAATGTTTTCCTCTTAATTATTATTGTATTGTTGTGAAAAGACGCCATTACCAAGGAAACTTTTATGAAAGAAAGCATCTAATTAGGAGCTTGCTTATAGTTTTATATCATGACAGAAGGCAAATACATATGGGAGTTAGAATAATAGTTGAGATATTTACATTCCAATTCCAAGCAGAAGGCAGAGAGAAACTGGGCTGACATGGTCTTTTGAAAGCTCAAAGGAATGCAAATGACATTCCTTCTTTTATAAGCCCATACCCACTCTAGAAAGGCCAGACCTCCTAATCCTTCCAAACAGTTCCACTCACTGGAGACCAAGCATTGAAATATATGAGCCTAAGGGGCCATTTTTATTCAAACCATCACACTAGCCACCAGGAGAAACATAAATTAAAATGTCTTTGCAATATCATGTCATTCCAATAAGAATAGCTATCATCAAGAAAACAGAGAAAGAGGAACTCTTATTCTTTAGGGGTGGTTCTGTAAACCAGTAGAGCTATTATGGAAACTAGCATGAATGATTCTCAAAAAATTAAAAACAGAACTACTATATCATCCAGCTATATCATACCTGGGCACTTAACCTAAAGGCTCCATATGCTGTCACAGAGATGTTTATGCTTCTGTTTGTTGCTGTTATAGTCACAATACCAAGTCTCTGGAACCAGCTTAGATGTCCATCAACAGATGAATAGATAATAGAAATCCAGTACATATACACAGTGGAATTTTACTCAGTGTAAGAAATGAAATCATGAAAATTGTAGGAATATAGATGAATCTGAAAAGTATTAAACAAGGTAACCCAAACAATGAACAGTAAAAACTGCATTTTGCCTTCTCATATGTGAATCCTAGCATACAATGTATATATGTATGTATGGCTATAAATGTGACTGAAGCATGAAAACAAGAAGACCAAATGAGAGAAAATGAGTGTTTGGTAGAAGGAGCTGAAGGGTGCATATTATATGAGAGTGAAAGGAAGACTGAGGTAACGCCAGGGAGGAAGAAAGGGGGAGAGATGAGACTGGAGGAGAACCAACTAAACAAAGTTTTTCTTGAAAATAGCATATTGAAGTGGTGTTTCTCATGATAATTAATAGTTAAAAGTAGGTGTTGGGGAGGTGCCTCAGCAGTTAAGAGCACTGGCTGTCCCTCTGAAGTAACTGGGTTTGATTCTCATGTGGTGGCTCACTTCTATCTATAACTCAAGTTCCAGGGCATCCAGTGACTACTGCTGGTTTATTCAGGAACCAGGTATACAAGTGGTGTAAAGACATATATGTAAGCAAAGCACCCATGCACATAAAAATTTTAAATTTAAAATTAAAATCAGAAAATATAAAAATGACCAATTTATATTATATTACAGTTTCTGTATATGTTAGTCCCTCAGACTTTGTTGATTGTTTTTGTTTTAACTTGGCAGGTAATATATTAGAGAGACAGGTCATGAACTTGGGAGGGTATGGAAGCTGAGTGTTGGGGATGAGTCTTGGAGGATTTGTAGGAAGGAGTGTGGACTAAATATTATCATAGTATGCATGTATGAAATTCTCAAAGAATTAATAAAATATTGTATTAACAGTCCTCATGATGCTGTAGACTTATCAAAAACTTGCTTTTTACATAAAAAGGGAAACCATGATAATTGGTGACTTGAGAACAATACTACCTGGAGGAAAAATATAGCTCCATAAGACCTCTTGGCCCTTCTTCCTAATAAAATTTGAGCAGGAATTATTATGAAGTAAATGGTTCACTGTTTGGACTTACTTAAATCCATTTACTCAGCAAATGAGAAATAACGAAATAAAGTGTCAGAGCAAGGGCTTAAAGTTACAGAATGGGTATCACAATCACAGGACCTTAAATGATCGAGTTTAGACTTATCTTGAAAATATCACCATGTTATTGAAGGTTATTTATCAATTATGGGGACTATGGGTAGAAAAATAAAGCAAGATGAAAGAGACATCTAAAATATTACTTCTGAATATCTAAGAGATTCAGAGAACCAGAAATAAAGGAAAGGAAAGGAAGGAAAGAAAAGAGAAAAGAAAACAAAACAAAAGAAAGGAAAGGAAGAAAAGAAAAAATACAGAGGTAGGGTTCAGAGAAACTTCACTTGAGGCTTTGTATCTATAGATGCCTATTGCTCAGGAAAATTCGATGGTCTCAAGGAATGAGTAGGAATGAGAAGAGACACTTCTTGTGGGTAGGATCCTGTCTCAAGATCAGGCTCAGTGATGAGAGCCAGCTCTGCAGACACTGCCTTCCTAACCAGGTACACTCACGATAACTAATCGCCTCTAAAATCCAAGCAGCACTTGCCCACTGCTTTGCTTCCCACCTTCACTTTCAGCACCATCTGGTGTGACCTACTAATGCATCCCTTCTCTTTCTACAAGAACTCTTTAAAGCACGAGATGGGGTTCTGCCCTTTCTTGCATCGTCTTCATAGTAGGTACTTAATTACTATCAAATTGTGAAATTCTAATCTTAGATACCTGAACCAGAATGAGAGATGGAGTTGAAATTTAAGAACACTAACTTCTGGGTCCCTGATGTACAAGTGGCTAGATGTGTAAGTCGGTTTGAAGAGAGAACAACTTGGAGAGGCTCCCTAGTGACTAGGTAAACCTATATCAATATCCTCTACTGCAAGCACAAATCCTAGAATCAATCCCTATAGTACCCTACATGTTGAGAAGATGCATTTTGATAAAATTGACTGCACTTAAAGAGTCCTATGGGTGATTTGTACTATAATGCACAGGATGGGAAATACATAAAATAGGCAGGTATACTTAATTCATCCTGGGCAGAATACTCATGGCAGAAACCCCAGAAAGAACTTATAGACCTTATACAAGGACTATAACAGACGAATGATTATTGGCTAGGCACAAATCAATGCTTTTGTGGCATGTGAGGTCTCCATAGTAGGAAATTACATGCTGCAGGTCTAGGCTGGGAAAAAGGAAAAGCAGTGCATTGCAATCGGACTAATGCTGCCTTCCCATGCACATGAAGCATGCTGAGGAGCAGCCAGAGGCTTTTCTGGGGCCTGAGAGGATTGAGGTAGAAGAAGGGCACAGAAGAAGTGAAGGAAGATGTGGTTTAAGCACTGAGGTCCTGTAAGTCATACTTACTCTTTAGGGCCCCCTCGCTGTGGGATGACACAGACCAAACCATCTCCCACCCAGTGTGTTTTCATAAGTACTTTAAATTCCCTTCATCCAAACTGCATTCCCAGACCTTCTCAGAAGGAACAGAATAATGCCACCCTGCTGGGTTAGCCCTCCAAATGCAATTCTTCCTGATTTTCTTCTGTTTTCTACCCTGGTTAGAACCCTTATTCCTCACCCCATGCCCCAGTCACTTTCACCTTTGTCCCCAATCTAATTTGGAGTCTTTAAGGACTGCTTCTACAATCAAATGTCATCTTTTCTCGCTCAGTCAGTTGTTCCCACATTATAGTGTGTTTTTAGGAATGGTTAGAGGCAGGAAAGGCCCAGCCCCACTGCCGAGCTCATCATCACTTTTCAATGAACAGTCACATCAACAATGATTCTGAAATGGAAACACTGGGAAATGAGAAAAGGTATTTAGATGAAGTTTTTCACTCTAGCAAAGAAAACAATATAATATAAACTTCTATAAAAGACGAAGAATGGAGTGTCTTGGTCCACACGCAGATCCGCATTTGTATTTAAAGACAGGCATGTATGAATGTTTTCTCTCCTCCCTACTCTCAGTGTGTTGCAGCAGGCAAGGTCCACCCACAGATTCAGAAAGTGTGTTCACAAAAGGGGAATAAAAATGAAGCCTAACTACAAAGAGAAATGAGCAGTGTCTTATTCCCCTGCTTTTGTTCCCCTGGGATACAAGCCCTGTTCTAAAGTCGGGTATATTGAGCCCTTCATCAAACTTTAATGAGCATTTTTGGTGTGTGTTGGAAATAGCATCAGGCTCTAGGAATGCAGAAGTGATAATGACAAGACTCTGTCATTCAGTTTACTAGAAGAGATAAGGTATGTAACTAGGTCACTACGATCTGGGACACCTGTATATCTGAGTTCAGAGGACCTAGGGACTCTGATGTGACTATAAAACTAGGTAAATCCCATGGAGTACGTGGTGCTGAGCTGGATGTTTAGTCATAGCTGTCAGGAGACAAGCACGGTCTTCCTCAGACTCTGGTCACAGACTGAAGTCTATCTTTCCTCTTACATTATAAGTTAAACACAAAAGTACTTTCCTGGTCTTCTATTCTGTCTCATCTCATAGGATTTGTGTGGTAGTCTCACTTCTGCACAAGCCAGTCCAAGGCCTCAACCTTTTCATAACTTGCTGACATGGAATTCCCTTTGAAATGCTTCCCAGGTGTATAAAGATGAGAAATCCTGCCCTGGGAATTATGAAACACCTGGATAGATCATCCACTCCATGACTGCCCTCCAATAACAAATAGCCTGGAGGCTTCAACTGGAGGATGTATAAAAAAGCACCTTCCATCCTGGTCTCACAAAACCTCAGGCTCCTCCTGAGGTGACTTGTCTACTCATCTTCCTTGAAGGTAAGGCTACTTTGGAGTGAAGAGACACATGTCACTCACTCACACTTTGCTAAGAAAGTCTTGGCATCCCTAGTGTCTCTCCCAGGAAATTAATAAACCAGGTAGGAAATATTTATAGCAGGGAGAAGGGAAAGACTGGAAATCCATGCCAAGAACCCTGAAATGATCTAACATGGGACAGAACAATGGGGACCAGAGGGCAAAATTAACAGCAGGGAGACACCGCATAGGCTTAAAAACTGAGGCCAGGAACCAAGTAATGAAAGCAGGTATGTGCGTGTTCTATACATGTGACCATGTTGGTCATCGGCCTTAGAAGAGACGTCCTGTTTGTTCAACAAGTTAAAATTTGCTTTTCTTTTATAGGAGTGGTAAGTTATTAACTTGATTATTGACTAATTCTTAGAAATTCTCACCGGAATTTACTCCTTTAGAATCTGCTGTTTTTCATCCTGGTGTAGGCTTTTCTGAGCTATTAATGCTGGCTCTATTGATGGCAGCCTCAGTTCCTGAGAAGAATGGCCCATGCCTCCTGGTCTCTGATATAGCAGTATGTTCTTTTTCTTCCAGATTTGAAGAGTTAGCTGAGCAATGTCACAGCAGAAGCAACAACCTCGGGAGCTCCCAAATGCTCCCAAATGTCCACCTCCCCAAGGCCCTACCCTCTGTCTGCCTGCCTGCTCAACTTCTTGCAAGATTTCTTGTTCAGCAGGCCATTCTACCCACTCCCAAAAGCCAGTGCTTCCGAACACTGCCGGACGCAGAGTAGTTCACCACCCACAGCCCCGCTGTCTCAGGGGTGGTACCACCTACCACTGCAAAGAGGAAGAGTGCTGAGAGACGGTGGAGGGCATACAGTGACCTCCCCACCAAGTCTATGAATTCCACCAGGAAGACTAGACCCACCTCTCTTGGCTTGAAAAAATACTTCCACCTTTCTCTCTTCTACCCACCCTTTTAGTTCAGCAACAATAAAATTGTTCATGGTGTGTGGCTGTGACTTCTGTGTGTCCTTGAGACCCAGATCAGAAGTGCAGAAGCCCTCCAGTGAGCTCTTCTCCTCTCAGAGACAGGTTTCTGGGAGTCCACGTTTCATTTCTCTGTAGCATCATAACACATTCATTTTGAACAACCTTGAGTACTGGCCTCTGCTTAAAGACGGAAGTGGGTGATTTGACCCTCTGCTTGGAAATGTTATGATCCAGTGGAAGAAGTAAGGTATGTTACAGATTAAATTATATGAGCTAACAACATTAATGCTTATTAAATTACTCATTTCTATGTCTCAAATGTGTTCAAAAGAATTTAAAGACAACAAGCTATGTTTAGAAACACACACACACACACACACACACACGCACGCACGCACACACACACTTATGTATACCTAATAACAATTAATGAAAAATGAGGCAGTGAATTTGAGGAAGAGTGGAGAAGGGTCTATGAGAAGGTTTAAGACTCTAAACTTTAAAGGGAAAAGGGGAAGGGAGAAACATTGTAATTGAATTGTAATCTCAAAAATAAAAAAAATGAATAACAACAAAAGAAATAATTTGAAGAAAGAAAACGTGGAAAACTGAGGGACAGCCATGAGCACCAGTGAGTGCCATTTTCTGAAGTTCTGATGGTTTGATTCAATGAGGGTTGTTTGTAAGTCTTAGGATAAAAGACAAGAGAAGAGGAGCCTCTTGGGGCTTGAGAAGAACAGGTTTCTGGGATAGGAGATTTTTAAACAGGAGATTTTAATGTAGGCAAGCTTTGATCCCGGAGTGTGTAAGAAGGGACTTCCATAGGGAGGACCCGCTAGAAGCTAACACAAGGCAAAGGGGGTGGTTGTCAACAGTGTGAGTTTCATCGTGGCTGGAGCTCCAGTAAAGATGACAGACAGGAGTCTGCAGCCTCAACCCCTATGTTAAACCCACCAGCTGAGTTTACTGAATTTAAGGTATAAAATTCCAACTACTAAAGTGTTGTTCTTCTAGAAAAAGTATGGGTCCAAGCATAGTACCTACTAGCCTGGGTTTTCCGAAAGCCTGATATACATTAAAAGGTCTGGAGGCAGCATCAGCTGTGTCTCATTTCAATATAAATTCCATGTGAAGAGTTTTCATTCATGTGCATTTCATGATTACCTAATCCAACAGATTTTACTATTTTCAAAAAAAATAGCATATCATTTCGAATCTACAGTCATTCCCACAATGCTGGGACTTGAATCAAATTCATTTCAAAACAGTGATATAAAAGTGAGCCAGTGATTGGATAATCACTTTTCTTCATAAAGATTTATACCAGCTTCATAGTTTTAAAATGTGTGTTCATAAGAACTGCCTATATTATGAGTGTTTTTCAGTGTGACTATAATATGACTTCCTTTTAATGTTGAAAATACAGGGTACTTGCTTGGCAGTGGTGGCACACGCCTTTAATCCCAGCACTCAGAAGGCAGAGGCAGGTGGATCACTATGAGTTCAGCCTGATCTACAGAATGAGTTCCAGGACAGTTAGAGCTGTTACATAGAGAAAACCTGTTTTGAAAAATCAAAAATAGAAAGGAAATATAGGGTACCTTTTATTTATACTAATGAGTGGAAAACAAAGATTTCATATATTGTACAAAGTTCCCACATACAGGTAAGACAGACACAGCAGACAGGTAGGTGATGATGATAGATGGATGGATAGATGGATAGAAGACAGACAGATGATTTGAAGTGCTCACACCATAACATAATGTTAGCTATATGAAGCAATGCATGTTACTTAGCTTGACCTAGCCATACCATTTTATATATGTTTTAAAACAGGTAGTACATGATAAATATATACAATGTGTATTTGCTGATTAGGACAAATGAATATTCATGTGCCCCATATACAAAATTTTAACAGTTCATTGGAACTACATACTGTTCTAGCATGGGAAGCTATTTGCTTGCTGTTTTCATGCCCCTTCCATATAACACCATTAGTTCATTTCTGAGTATCCCTCAGTTTTCTGACTCTGCCTTATATTTTCATTCAGCAGTTTCTTTAGAGAGTCCTGGGTTGGTATATAAACAAAAAATATGTGGGTATTTGTCAATCTTTGGAAAAATAAAAAAGATAGGTCCTCATTATTAAGTGGTATTGAACTAGCCAGATGATGGTAGCAATAGTAACAAATAAGCCAAGTGTGGTGGTGCACATCTGTAGTCCCAAAATACAGAGGTTTGAGGTAAGAGGACTACAAGTTCAAAGCCATCTGGTGATGGTGGTAGTGATGATGATGATGATGATGGTGATGATGATAGCAAGAGCAGCAATATATCAAGAAAACTTCCAAGCATTGTATATAGCTGCTGTCAGTTCTCCAAGCAGCTCTATGGAGCAGAAATAATTGTCATCATTATCATTACTTGGCAGGTCAATAACCAAGGCTAGAGGTCACATGAAAGCTTATGTTCCACAGTTAATAGGATATGGAACTAGATCTGAGTCAAAAGGTCTGACTGCAGACATTAGGTAGCTAGTGTGTTGTGAGAAACTACTCTGTTCCCTCTGCCTCTTTATCCAGTCTCAAGCTTGAATCCTGGATTGGTAATCAGCTGACCTTGTATTTAGTATTCATCCTGCTTATATTTGAACTCTTCGTGTTAGATGACTTATTTGAATAGATGACTTCAGTTCTCATTTGTAAGCACAGAAACACATAACCAAACCAAGTAAGGTGTTTTATTTATGACTACCTCAGTTGATAAATCCTTGTTAAGAATGAACTATGTAGCTGGGCGGTGGTGGCGCACACCTTTAATCCCAGCACTTGGGAAGCAGAGGCAGGCGGGTCTCTGTGAGTTCGAGGCCAGGCTGGACCGACAGCCTCCAAAACAATACAGAGAAACCTTGTCACGTAAAACAAAACAAAACAAAACAAAAAACCAAAACAACAAAAAAGAATGAACTATGTAAAAAAACTGCATTTAAAGGCACTGTTAGAATTCTTTAGTATCTGGTACCATACACTTACTAGGGAAAAAAATCTATAATAAAAAATACTTAAATGGCTTTCTTAATGACATAATGAGCTCTCCAAGTAAAAAAAAATTCCATATGCTAACAAAGCTCATAAGAACATAAGAACTTGATCAGACAATCACACTTGATGTTGCCTAAAGCATCTCCAAGGGTGAATGGCTTTGGAAGAGGCCTGAGCTTTGAACATAGTTCAGCTATTCACGAAATTCTCCCAAGGAGTTCAGGGGAAGGTAAGAGGTGGCAGCAGAGATACCATCAGAATATTCTAAGGACTGATTATGTCTATTCTCAGAAATACTCTGAGACTTTTCAAATCTGGCAGAATTACTCAGAAAATATTTTAAGAATGCATATGCTTAAGTTTGACTCCTTGGAGGTTATAATCCAGTAGGTCTTAATTGAGGATGAAGGATCTGCATTTTGAAACAACTTCCTCCTATGGCTTATGAGCAATCAAGTGGAATTCCTGATCTGTTACTGAATCAGGATGGAGGCTAAAAGCACAGCTTCCCTATTCCATGCTATTCCTTGTTGGGTTGGCCCTACTGCCTTGGAACCTAGAAACTGATACATATTTTATTTTAAATTTTGCACTATTCTGTTTTTCCATAGGCAACAAACCCAACTCAGAATTCTTAGGAGAGGAAAATAAAATATGTGGAATACATGTGCATGTACAAATAGTTGAAGATGTAGGAGACTCCCCTTGAATAAACCACCATGTCTGGGAATATAAATACAAGCTTGGGATATCAGGACAGAGAATACTAATACTACAGGGAGGGGAATGGTCCTCTTAAGACTAAAGCAGCATGCCTGTGACTTTGTAATGCCTTCCTTGTACTCTTTAGAGTGTAGAGTCTGGCTCTGCTAGTATAAGGTAATACTGCTTTTCTAACTGGGAAAATTTTGAGGAGTAGAAAATGGCCAAATGAATCATCTCCCTTATCTTCATCTTAAGACATGATGACTGTAGAAGACCTTTTATGATGCTGGATCTTTTGGTCCAGTACAACAGACAACAATAGTGATGTCATGATCAGTATGGTAATCTTCAAAGAAAGGAGGGATGGAGGTAGCGATCAGCTCACCTGAGTGGGAGAAGCTGGCCTTTCTATACCAGCAGAAGGATAAAGTTGCATGGGAATAAAATGTCCTGGTATTCTGGGCTGTGGAATCTCCACTCTTGAAAATTTTCTTGGGATCTCTGCCTGGAAGAAAAATATAAGCAGAATGAAGTCTCCTCCTCCTTTCCTATCTTAGGACTAACAAGTGCCATTTAGGGACAACATCTATAGACACACTTTCTAATAGTACATTTTAGCTTTTGCCTCCTCACTAAGGTCGACTCAAGGTCAGTGTAGAAGTGGATCATCACATTTCTCACAAAGAAGAAGGGACAGCACAGCTGTTCCCATGGAGGTGACAGACCAGAAACCACATAGATGCTTTTTGACCTAAGGCAGCTCCAAGCACAGTATTCTCATAATTATCTCAGAGATCAAGAGACAAATAGCAACACTCATCTGGCACCAAGACTCAAGAAGGCAAGTGGCATTCAAATAACCAATCTCCAGTTTAGGCTCATGTTTGCATTCAGATGGTCAGTCTCTGGACTAGGCTTGTGTTTCAGAGACAGCCTACTACTTCACCCTAGTGGAATTTGGGGTAGGGTCCTATAGAACTCAGCATCTAGAGATTGTTTAAGACTATAGTAAACACAAAGTTTATAACTATTTAAGTATAACTTCAGATCACCCACAGAATACTATGCACTGTATGTTTGTGGGTGTTTTATTTTGTTGTGTTGTGTTTTTCTCACACTTTTAAAAACTCCTTTCTCATAAATTACATCCCAACTTCATTTTCCCCCTCCCTCCACTCCTCACAGTCTCCCTACTTCTCCTCTCCCCAAAATTCACTCCTCCTCTGTTTCCCTTTAAAAAGGCAGGCCTCCCCGGGATATCAACTG